GGAAATTCCATATTTGGTAATAATCCTGACTGCTATATGCAGAATCTTCTAAAAATTCTAAAAATGCAGCTAAAAGAAAGATCAACAAAAAAAACCAAAGTAAATATTTACCATTTATCTGCCTCTATTTTTTTAGAAATTATACTTTAAAAAAAATTTTTTTTTTTAAATATCTAGAATGTCCTTGTCCAACTTGTAAGGAACTGATAATTCACGTTTTTCAAGCAGTAATTGTAAATTTCAAAAACGTCATGCATCCAGGAAAAAGACGCAAAATACAAACAATACACAGTCAAAGCTGGACAGAAAGATTTCTTAAAGATAAAGATCTTGAACCTGCAATCCAAAGTGCTGTTAAAAGAATGACCTGAATTGTTTTTGAAGGCTCTTAGTTGGCTAACTAAACAGTACTTTATCACGTGGCTCTTGGTGCTTTCAAGTATATGCGGCAATGTTTCCAAGCTGTAACTACATACCAAAATACCCCAACACCACCAAAGAATCTATCATAAATAACATTCGAGATACCCTCTACACATAATATCAACCTCAATTGGGACGTAGAGAGAAGGACATGAGAGTTAAATTTGTGGATTCGCCACCAGATTTACAAGGTGAAAATAATTTAAACCGTGATCAAGGTGCTGCTAGAGCAATTACCTCATTTATTGACCCATCATTAAATTGGGATGATTTGGAGTGGTTTAAATCAATCACATCTATGCCAATCATGCTCAAAGGCATACAAACAGCTGAAGATGCTATCCTAGCAGCTAAATACGGATGTGCTGGTATTGTATTATCAAATCACGGTGGCAGGCAGCTTGATTTTGCTAGATCAGGAATAGAAATTCTACCTGAAGTTGTTCAAGCACTCAAAAAAGAAAATTTATTTGATAAAATCGAAATTTATGTTGATGGAGGTATCAGACGTGGCACAGATATTTTCAAAGCAATAGCTTTAGGCGCGAAAGCTGTTGGTATTGGTAGACCTATGTTGTATGCTATGTCATCTTATGGTCAACCAGGTGTTGAAAGAGCATTGAGGTTATTAAGAGATGAACTTGAAATGACGATGAGATTAGCTGGTGTAACATCCTTGAAAGAAATTACACCTGATTTTGTTGACATTAAAAATTTAAATGACCATATTTTTGTTCCTAAAGATTATCTTTTTTCAAATGTTTATGATAAACCTTTTCCAAGAAGAAGTAAATTATAAATCATTCATTCATTTACAAATGTATTAAAAAACTATGTAAAATTATGTGTAATTTATTTTTATATATAAGTATTTAATAAATATAAATAATTTAAAAAATTAGGCCATCAAATCTTGGGAGGTCATTTTTTAAAGATTTTCTGAATATATATTCACCATTAATCATCAAAATCACTCACTATCAAAATTGAAATATCATGTGATCATGTCAGATTTTTTTAAAAAAATACCATCACTCACTCATTCAGCTTTATCTTTGAGTGACTCTTAAACATACCGCCTGATACATTAAAACACCTTTTTAATAGAAGATAATTATATTTCTATCCAATCAAGAGTGGGTTTTAGTGCACCAGGGGTGGTGTGGTAAGATTTTGAAACATGCAACCAAACTAGTAATGATATATCAATATACACTATAAACACTTTTGAACAAAAATGCACACAATAAAAACATAAATAAGTTAGATCATTTTGTAGCTTAGGTTCTCAAAATTTTACATGCAAAATTTGAATTTCTATCACCACTAGGAAAATATGACAAAAAAAATTTAATTATTTTTGGCCGAAATTTAATTATCAGTATTAGTATTAGTACTAGTTAATAAAATGTGAAATTTTGCACATATAATTTGGTATACACTAACATGTAGTAATAAAGTTCTTGCAAATTAAATTAACAAAATATAGCTCACCTCGAATAACAGCCTGAAGATATTTATTTTTTTCCAAAGACAACTAACATTTTTTGCAAGCACAAATGAACCCTGTTAGGCTCCAGTGCTCCTTGTTGGAGCAACTCACAACTTTTTCATTTGACTCACTGTTACAAACAGATCTATCCTCCAGGACTCAGTCCAAATACTTTGCACCCATTCAAATCAATATTCGATTATTCTTTATCATCAACTTTTTCCTGCAGACCAACTGATACTGAAAGACTATCAGTTTGTATGTAGTAAGCAAAGATTCGATTTTGGGTGGTGACTTTTGTTATCAAGAGCTTGATTTTGGAATAATGTCTGTTGCACTTTCAAGTGAATATATTGGATGCGGGTAGTAAGGTAAAGGAGGTATTGTGGATGTGATGTAGACAGTTTATCAATAATATTTGAAGGAAGGGAAGGGGATCTCGATTTTTCAAGTTGGTGGTGAAATGATTTATATTTTTAGAGATTAATCATTATGTGATTCTGACATGTTGCCATGCAACAGAGGAGAGAAGTTGTTCTAATGATTTTTTATTTGTCCAATTCATTCCCCTTGAGGTTGATATTATGTGTAGAGGGTATCTCGAATGTTATTTATGATAGATTCTTTGGTGGTGTTGGGGTATTTTGGTATGTAGTTACGGCTTGGAAACATTGCCGCATATACTTGAAAGCACCAAGAGCCACGTGATAAAGTACTGTTTAGTTAGCCAACTAAGAGCCTTCAAAAACAATTCAGGTCATTCTTTTAACAGCACTTTGGATCGCAGGTTCAAGATCTTTATCTTTAAGAAATCTTTCTGTCCAGCTTTGACTGTGTATTGTTTGTATTTTGCGTCTTTTTCCTGGATGCATGACGTTTTTGAAATTTACAATTACTGCTTGAAAAACGTGAATTATCAGTTCCTTACAAGTTGGACAAGGGCATTCTAGATATTTAAAAAAAAAAATTTTTTTTAAAGTATAATTTCTAAAAAAATAGAGGCAGATAAATGGTAAATATTTACTTTGGTTTTTTTTGTTGATCTTTCTTTTAGCTGCATTTTTAGAATTTTTAGAAGATTCTGCATATAGCAGTCAGGATTATTACCAAATATGGAATTTCCAAATACTGTAAGGATAATCTTTTAGAAAAAAATCAAAACAAAAATGATTGGCTAATTTTATGCAGATCTTTTCTTTGAAAAAAATTGATAAATAAAATAAATTAAAAATAATGCTTTTTTATGAAGAAAACGTGGCGAAGGCTTTATTAAATGGTCATATAACCTCCAAAATTTTATGTATTACGTTTATTTTTAACTGCTTTACAAATCTATCAAAAAATAATCAATAGCTTCAAATTATAATCATAAAATTACCATAAAAACACAATAACTTTTTTCATAATACTGATGAAATGTTTGAGTTATCAACCTGTTATTCATTCTTATTCGTCAGGAATCTTGTTATTAAAATTAATAAAATTAATAAATAGTATCATGAAATATATTATAGTTATAAATTAATTTGTAAGCTTTTTGGTATAAATAAAGTCTATGCTAAATTTTGTA